AATTGTGTTTGTGATCTTGATCTGTTCTATGTACCTCGCCTGACCTTGAAGGACGTGAGTGTGGTCCCCGTCTACCTTTCAGCCACTGCTTCTCTTTGTATACCCCACCAGGAAAACTGGAATTATTGCTGGCCTGCCCTCACTCTTGTTTTTTGCCTTTCCTTTCTGACTTTTGTCTACAGTTCCTCCCTTGTGATACCTTCCACCCCTTTGTTGTTGATTTTTGAGGGATGTAGGGGAGGTTAATGTAGGTGACTTTATTCTCATTTTGGGGGAGAAGAAAAGAATCTTATAGAAAAAGCTTAGTTTGTTGGGTTTTGTTGTTTTATTTTTTTTTGTATTTTAATCACTACCCCCAATCTCAGTTCCCTTTTTCCCTGTCATTAGAGGGTTTATTTCTCTGACAACCTCTGTCCCATCATGGGTTTGATGGTTGCCAACTGCTTAAACTCACATCATTCCAGCTTAGCAGCTTTACTGCGGAGAGAAGATCTTTACCTGTAATTCTAGGGAAAAGGTCAGGGGAGGATTCTTGTTGGCTTAGTACGTGTGTATATGGGTCATATATATGTCCCTGGACCATTTGCTGTGGCCAGAGAGTGAAGTATTTGAATTGACCAGACCTGGACCCCTTCCTACCTGGACTTTCCTAAGAGTCCATGTTCTGAAGGTGTTCTGAGCTGTTGTTGTGTGTAGGTTAAATAGTCATTCATTCTTTTTCTCCCCATTGTTATCTAAGGCTATGTGAAGAAGATATTGGAGTTAGCTTTGAAGAAGAAAAAGATAGATTTTTTGTTGACATATTGCAAAAGAAGCTTTCGGATGAAGAGCATGATTTGTGAGAAGGCTTGAGAGTTATGGGTGGTTGAAAAGTAAAAGTAAGGGTCGATTGAAAGTGTTGATTGAACGGAGCTGAAACATGTAAGAGATAAGAGGGGAGAGAACTGAGGCTAGAGTCAGAAAATGTATTACAGAATTTTAAAAAGGAAAATGTGTTCTTACTGATAGGCAGAAGGCTAAATAATTGTGGAAGCTGATCTTTTACTAGGTGGTTAAATGAGGTTTACAAATGAACTTTATACCACTACATAGAGGTAAGATAATCACGGGGATATTAAATCAAAAATATAATAGATAATATAACAAAATATATAATAATAAAAGCTATACCCAAGGCTCATACAGTAGTCTGCTTATACTAGAAACAGAATAAAATTTCATACTAATAAAAATGTAGACATTTTCAAGAGTATGTTTTCATACAAGTTTGCCTCAATTATTTCAGACTGGCCAGGGAGAAAAAGAAGTACTAACAGACATGAAGTGATCAAAATTTGACTGAATTCAGAGATATGAAAAGTCAGATTATGTAATTCTGGTGACAGTACATTTAGCTGAAGAAAAAGGTAAAAGTTGATTATTATCAAATAATGGTAATATCCTAAACTCTTAAGTTCTTTAAAAAGCTCTTAAACTACATCTTTGATTCAGAGGAAGGCAGTCCAGGATGGAAAAGTATGTCAGGAACCAGTATGATTTCAAGTTGTTTTATAGGCTTGGAGAATAAAGGGATCATCATGTTCAAGTACGTAGCTTTGAAGATGGTAATTAATCAGAAAGTATTGGAAAAAAATCTATGATGAGAGCCTATTAACACTACCTTGGGCTGTGCCCTTTGAGCACAGACACTCATTGTGTAGTCACACCCTCTAGAATGCTAGGATGCAGGGTGAGGTAATTGGAAGAAACAGCGTGTGAAACAGATGATAGTTGACTAAAACAGAAAGGTGGCAGCAGCTTTACCCTCTCCCAGTGGCCTAATCATTGAATCAGCTCTGTAGCCAGGGTCTCTGCATACACATTTCTAGATGGAGACTTGTTCAAGCTCTTCACATACAGGGTTACAAAGGATATATTTAGAAATCCATATGGAGGTGAGTGTCTCCTTTCTTTCCATATTCTTTATTCTGCTAAGAACATTTACATTCACATACTTTGAAATGAAAAGAAACTGTATAAGACACTGACAACCAAGGGTTGCTCCAAATAGGGCAATAGGATTGAACAGAGCCCAGGGCCCTTTGATACTTTGGTCATTACACAATTTGAGAGTATATTATGGAAGGTAGGAGCTGAGATCTCCCTGAAAAGCTGAAATTTTGTAAGCCAATTTTAACTCCGAATTTCATGCCCTATGAAATTCAATGAAATGAATGACAAAGTAGTTACTTTGCCCTATTCCCTCATCTATTTTTAACATGTTCTCTTTTACCCCATCTCCATCTGTTACATCTCTCTTTTCATCATCCTCCTGAACCTCCTTACAACTCAGTATCCCCAACTCCCATATACAATATCCCCATCAATTACCTGGCCTTAGGAGGTTCTGCTAACCTTAGGGCCAAAGTAAACCGGTTTTTCCCTCAGGTCTCAGTAGCACATCTAAGGCCTAGCTGGAACATTAAGCAAGACTCTACTGAAGGTTTGGCTATGACAGAAGGAATTCTCCAGCAACTAGATTGTCAAGATGACAAATTGTTGCACATCTTCTCCAATTTGGGTTCTCCTGTAGTGTCATTCATCTGGCCGGGGCTCGTTTCTCTCTCTTCCTCTTTATCCTTTATCTCAAGAAGTAAAACATGAGAAAGAACAAAGTTTCTTTGTGTTCCCTTCCTGAATCTGTCACTTCCCAGGAGGAAACAAGTCCTAAAGTTAGTTTACATTCCTTCTCCTCCAAATTTTTATGCTTTAAATATGTGTAAACATACATATCTATATATAAATATAGATAAACATATCTATATAGTGTTGCTTTTTAAAAAATTATGTAAGTATACACATATCTACATATTATATACATATCCTGCATTTCTACTTAGCATTGTGTTTTCAAGATTTTACGTATTAATACTTCTAGCTCTAGTTAATTCATTTTTATTTGTATTTCATTATATGACTATGTCATAATTCAATTATCTTGACCTTATAAATAAGGCTGCAGTATACATCTCTGTGCATATCTTTTTGTGTGTGTGACCATGTTTGAGAATTTCTTTAGATTATGCATAAAATTAAAACTACAGTAGGGTAGATGTCTCTTCACTTTACTAGAAATTACTAAATTGTTCTCCAGAGTAGTTGTTCTACTTTACATGCCTACCAACAGTGTATGAAATTTCTTCTTTTTCTACATCTTGTTCAACACTTGGTGTTAACAGACTTAAAAATTTTTGCCATTCTGGTGCGTATAAAGTCCCATTTCATTGTTTTAATTTGTACTGTCCTGACTGCTAATAGAGTTAAGTGTCTTCCTTCTCAGTTTTCTATCACAGCATCCTCTTTATTTCTTTCATAGCATTTATTACTTAGCATTTATCAAACTGTTATATGGGTTGGTTGACTTGTATATTTATTGTCTGCCTCCCTGTTAGAACATAATTTTCTATGAGAGCAGGGATCATATCTCTCTCATTCACTGTTTTATTCCCAGAGCTCAGTCCAGGTTCTGGTAGTAGTAGTTCAATAAATAGTTTTTTAATGAATGAGCCTGGGTGGTGGTTGAGGGTTTCCTCAATAAGTCTGACATTACTACAAGACATATGCTCATACAGTAACAGGAATTTGTCTTTATATTCCTCCCATCCAAATCCTGTACTTTATTTCATATCCAGTTCACCATAACTGATTCTCTCCATTTCTTACTTCCCATTTTCAAGCCTTTGAATAGGATGTATCCGTAATAGAGATAGCAGAAATTTTGAGTCACTTGTGGTTTGATAGAGATATCTGCTCTAGCCTGTGATTTGAGATATACTGCTGGTCAAAGGCTTAGCCTAAGATTGTTCTGCGTCCCACATCAGAGAAGAAACAAGGCCTCTGATGAGGTTCATTATTAGATAGGAAATTAAGTTGAAAGCCCTTTGCCTTTGTTGGGATTTTTATTGATAAAGCTAATCTTATCTACTGTAAGACTTTCTGAAATAGGTGTGGATGATTTTGTCATCAGAAGTTCACTAGGCTGCACATAATTTTTTATTTTTGAGAAATACAGACTTTGAAGGAAATTAGAATAAATCTCAGTTAACTTGTCTACAGTCTTTTTCTTTTCCACCCAATCACTCTTAGTGCTGGTTTTAGCAGCTCTGATTGCATCTTGTTTCAGCTTTGTTCATTTCCTGAGCTCTGCTCTGACTGTAGTCATCTTAAACTTTATTCATTGCTTTGGTTAGGATACTTTGGGGTGCAGGGAACAGACCTACCCAAGTTAGCTTAAACCAGTGGCAATCCAGGGATGTCTCAGAAATAAAGCTAGAACCAGGAATCAGAGCAGTGGAAATGCCTACTGTAATATAAGCTGCCCAGGATGGAATCTCTTTGTCCCAATTACTAATCCTCAGGGAAGGAAGCTGATCCAGCATGGACCAGATGCCCACCTGACTCCAGTAAGCTGTGGCCATTAGGTTACAGTTTATAAACATGGCAGCCATAGAGCCACTGCTGTAATGTATAGGCAACACAGAAGAGCAGCTCCCAGGAGAGGGGAGAGATTTTAGGCACACACACCCATAGGTGTCTGCTGAACTTATCAGTTGCATAACATGTGTTTAAAGGCTCTGAAGCCTCTAGCTTTTTACCCAGCAACTTTATATCTTCTGCTTCCTTTGCTTTTCTTTCCCCAGGTCTTACTTGCTCCTTACTCAACTTATTGATCTCCTTTCAGTAGCCAGTTGCAAATATATTCTCAACAGATCCCTGATTTCCCCCACTTATGAAAGTGAGTTTTGTGGATAAGAAGATATTTTCTCCCCCTCATTTATTTGTCTAGAAGGAATTAGAAAGTAGGAATATTCTGCATAATATAACATCTCTCTGGTATGCTTATAGTTTAATGATGTGTCCTGCCCCAGCTGGTGGGAAATAGCAGTGAATCAGGTATTGCGAAACTTCAATCTGAGAAGTCCATTCTGCCTTTGCTGAGACCTTACATTCTCTTATTACAGGAACATGATGTAGAAACAACTCATGGTATGGTCCACGTCACTATAAGAGGCCTTCCGAAGGGAAACAGACCAGTTATTCTCACATATCATGACATTGGCCTCAATCGTATGTATTTGATTTTATATCTTTTTATTAGAATACTCAATCTTTGTATATTAAAAAAAAGCACATGTAAGAGATCCTAGTATTCTAATAGAACGTAATTTTCTCCTTTCTTCCTTAATATTCCATCTTCTTTGCTACATATGTTAATGGCAGGATTAAAGTTCCTGTGAAGTGTGCAGGAGAATGCATTTGGGGGATACTAGAATTAAATCTCACCTGTGTGTCATGTCTGCAAAAGGACTGAAGGTTATATAATGAACTGGTTAAGAAAGTAGAACTGAAATCATTTTTTAAAAAGTCTATGCTACTTTGGTTTTTCATATTCCGGATTAGAAAATCCAGGGTTTGAAATTAACTTTGTGAACTCTTCAGTGAATTGGTAAAAGTACTCTTGCTACAGTTTGTCATAAGTGACTTTAAGTGGACTTTTCTAGATGGTAGTGTAAGATTCTGGCCCTTGCCACAGGCACATGGAGTCTGTATATGTGTACTTTTTTGCATGCTTCTCTCACTTTCAGAGGTGATCTGCATTTAAAGCTACAGTCTAGTGCTAGAGCTTGTATAGCTTAAGAAGTAATTTAAGCAGTTATAGTAATAGCGTAACAATTGAAGCAGCAGCCCTTTCTTGCACCCCAGCAATTTTTCCAAGAGACAGTCTTCCACATGGTGAATGTAAGCAGCCCAAGGTACTCACTCTAGCCAGGTTCTTGGGATATTGTCAGTATCTCTATGTCAGATAGGGGAATAAAGTACATGGAAAATGACAGTATTTTGTGCAACACCTGGGTTGGTTTCCACTTTATAGATATTGTGTGGAATTAAGAATTAGTTGTTTTCAGGTCATCGAGACGTCTGGTATTCAGCCTTTAGGGCAGCTTGAATCAGACAGATTGTTCAGACACCTCAGTTTAGTGGGACAATGATTAAAAGGTAGTAAAAGAAGATGATACAGAATTGATAGAGTGGAGGAAAATTGGGGAGAAATGGAGAGACTGTAACTTATTCATATTTTTCCTCTTGCAGATAAGTCCTGTTTCAATGCATTCTTTAACTTTGAGGACATGCAAGAGATCACCCAGCACTTTGCTGTCTGTCATGTGGATGCCCCAGGCCAACAGGAAGGTGCACCCTCTTTCCCAACAGGGTAAGGCCAGGAAGATATGCACTCAGAAGAGCAAATGACTGAGTCCAGTGGGAGAAGTAGTGTGTGCTTCCCTTCTCAGCTGATGTTATGTAATCTACAGTTGTAGGTAGAACCAACCATTCTTGTATTTCCTCTCCTTGCTCTGAGAGGACTGTTATGTACAATCGTCATTTTTGTGTTCCTCCCTGAAACTCCCAATACCTAGGCCCAGACTCATCCCTCTGAGCTGCCTTGTCAGGTAGAGGTGCATTTTTACTGGACTTAGAGCTCTTGGCTTCATCCTAAACCTGATTTGCGTGGCAGAGCCAGTCTCCCCAACTCTTCCCTGCGCAGTATAATTATTGAGAAGACCTTGAAGGGGAGGAGTGAAAGCACAAACTCTGCAATGCTAATTCTTCCCCTCTCTGCCTTTACTCATCTCCAGAACTACCTTTACCAATGACTGCTGTTAAATAGAACATTACAGACAAATAATGGCTAACACTTATATAGTACTTAAACAATATTCCTAACACTTTTTAAAATACTTTACATGTATTAAGTCATTTAACCTTCACAACCCTATGGGTGGGGTAGGTTTACTATTCTCATTTTACAAGTGAGGAACTGAAGCCCAGAGATACTTAGTAAGTTGGCCAAGGTTCCATAACAAATAAGCAGCGGAGTTGGGATTTTAGCTCAGGCAATCAGGCTCCAGAATCCATGTATTGACTATGTCCAAGCTATTGTGTCTCTCAAACACAAATTGGCCAGTGAGTAGTTTATCCAACAAGACTTAGATCCCATTCCCTTTTTCTGTCTGTGCACGAATGGCTCAAGAGCACTTCATCTCTAAGAGTGTTTCAAGCAGAGGCAGGCTGACTTCCCTGTCAGATGTAGAGCAGATCCTACATCATATATAGGAGGTTGTCTTAAGACCCTTTCTATCTGTAATTCTGTAATCTCTATGGGTACTCCCTACTTTTCTGGGCTTGCTTGACCTTTTAGGATTAATAGTTCATAAATTCAAAGGCCATAAAGTAACCATGTTATCCTATGCCTAAGTAAAACAAATATTCATAATGAGGAGCTCAGAATTTGTGATTATGCTTAAGCCCCATAAAGCCCAATATGCTAAGCTTTGTTTACTTTTGCACTTAGCTGCCTAAATATAAGCAGCCGACCAAGAACTACTTCCTGAGTTGATTCTTACTGTTGGAAGTTTACTGAACCTGAAACCCAATTGACATGATTATCAGGGATTTGGAATCTGAGAGAGAACCTGTCAGATTCTCTGTTCTTTTCAAATGACATCCTTTAGTCTGAGAGACTGTTCATAGAAACATGTAGGTTCTTTTACTTTCTTCTTAGCATGATAGTTGTAGATAGTTGCACAACATGCCAAAATCATTTCCAGACTGCACATCACCTCTTTGAGCCTTTGGTAAAGGGAATGCTTTTATCTAAGAACTCTGTACTTTTCTAGCTGTTCTTGTAGTTGGGAAATGTGAGTGCGTTCTAATTCAGGAGGTATTCTTCTGGATTTCAGGTACCAGTACCCCACAATGGATGAGCTGGCTGAAATGCTGCCACCTGTTCTTACTCACTTATGGTAGGTTCATTCTGCAGTTGTTTCACACAGTGTTTATAGACTTTCTAAGGAATGTGATGGTGAGAAAACAGAATAGTCACTGCCTTCATGGAGCTTATGTCTTAGGGAAATAATGAACAAGTAAGCAAATCACAACTAAAGTACTATAGAAGAAATCAGTGGGGGTATGATAAAGAATTAGGGCAGGAGCTACATAGGTAAGACTAGTCAGGGAATGCCTCTCTAAGAAGGTGGCTTCTAGTCTGACACTTGGAGGATAAAAGGAGCACCTAGACAGAGAGCCAGAGCAAGAGAAGTCCAGACAGAAGGAGTAATATGTCCAAAAATCCCGGACCAAATGAACAAGTGGCAGAAAGGCGTGGGGTGAAATTCAAGAAATAGGCAAGAACCAGATTATATAGGTCTCACAGATCAGGTAAGAATTTGGGATTTTATTCAAAAGAAAAAAAAAAATAATGAAGGCTTTTAAGCAGGTGCATGATACCCAATTTAATCTTTTTAAATGACCATTCCAAATGTGTAAATTGAACATCAATAAAACTGCTTACAATTTTTTAAAAAGGATTACTCTTGCTATGGAGAGAATGGGTTGGAGAGGAGTAGAAGAGAAAAAGCAAGGAGACCAGTTAAACTATTATAATAGTCAGGCAAGAGGTAGTGATATTTTAGTACTAAATACTGTCGTGGGAATAGAGTGAAGTAAATGGAGGCAGATGGAAATATTTTGATGGTAGGCTATATAGGACTTGCTGTTGTGTTAGACATGGAGGTGATAGAGTGAGATCTCAAGAATGATTTGCAGGTTTTAGTGATACTTCATTTAACCTTAAAATCAACTTAGAAGTAGGCGGTTATATCTTTGTTTTATAGGTAGGGAATCAAGGCTCAGAAAATTAAAGAAACTTGACCAAATTCTATATTTGATAAGGATCAGAGCCAGGATTTGAACCCCATTGTGTTCTTTCCATTACGTCATGCTACCTCCAAATGAGTTCACCCTATCAATGTTCATGTGTTTCATTCACAGTGTGAAAAGCATCATTGGGATTGGAGTTGGGGCTGGAGCTTACATCCTCAGCAAATTTGCAGTAAGTATACATGGAAGATTAGTCTCAACGCCTTTGAGCTACTGCCTAGATCACAGCTCTTACTGCTGTGTTAAGTGACCAGGTACTATTGTAGGTCTATGTCAGTTTTTAAATAAATTCTGTCAGTTCCAGATACAGGTTTGAATAAAGCCTTGCTTTATACTTACGGTACCTGAAAAATCACAAATGAGGGCTGTACATCATCAATAAAAAGTAATTCTTAGAGAATACTTGCAATGGAATTTTATACAGCCATTAAAATTTTGTAAGAAGAGCTTGTAATGATGAGATTGACACATACTAAAATGTTAATGAAGTTAGAATACAGTTTCACCTAAAGTTTGTCGTAGGCATAGGAAAGGAGTAGAATGAAATTTACTAAAATATTAACAAGGATTGATATTGTGTGGTAAGATAATATGAAATTTTATTTTCTGCCTTTTATAATTTCTTAGTTTATCAAATTTTCTGTAGTGAGCATAATCAGTGTAATCAGAGTAGAGGAAATAAGCTAGAGAGTTTTGAGTTTATATAGAAATGTTCCAATTGATTTTTATTTAAGGAACTTTTTTTCAAATGCCTCCTGATTGATAGGACAGTCTTCTGAGTGTGGTGTCACCTAATCATGTGGCTTCAAAAAAACCTTAAGAAGCCCCTGTTGGGAACAAAGGTATATGAGTATGAAATAGCCAGTTTAAGCCTCAGCAGCCCCTTATGTCAAGTGGTTCCAAAGGCACTTTCCCTGCAGAGATATGCTCAGGCGCTTTCCTCTTCTGTGGAGATAAAAAACATGTCTCCCCAAGAGATCCTAGCAAGGAAAGATCATTAGACAAGCAATTAAGAAACTAGTTTTCCAGATGCTAAGTCAGATTTAAAGAGCTATTTTTCTGTATATTCTCCCTAGCACCTCTCTGAAGTCTTACTTTTAAATCTGAGGCATTAAGGCATAATAAGAATTAATTAAACCATGCTCCAATATTTTTAGAAGAACATTGAGAGTGGAACTTTCATACTGTTGTCTTTGTCTCTGATTTCAGCTCAATCATCCAGAACTTGTGGAAGGCCTTGTGCTCATTAATGTTGATCCTTGTGCTAAAGGCTGGATTGACTGGGCAGCTTCCAAAGTAAGCACCAAATAGTATTCATTGGCTCATCTCTAGGTCCTTTCTCAGAATGGCTTATCTGCTTTTTTTTCTTTTTTCATTGAGGAATGTACAGTTAAGGGCAAGAGGTATACAGCTTGATGAATATTTACATTTGTAATCACCACCCAGTTGATATACAGAATATTTCCAGTTCTATTCTTAATTAATACTTTCTTTTCTTCCCAGAAATAACCGTTATTCTGACTTCTGTCACCGTAGACTGGTTTTATCTATTCTTAAACTTCATATAGTTTGAATAATAGAATATGTATTGTTTCATCTCTCATTTTCTGATTTATCATTGCCTGTCTCATTGATGTGTGTAGCACTAGCTCTTTTTAATTGTTTAGTATATTGTGTGAATACACAAAATGAGTGGTTAGATGGTTATTATAAATAAAGCTCCTATGCACATTCTTTTACATGTCTTTCAGTAGACAAACACATTTTCTTAATTTTCTATGATAAGCATTATTGATTGCTTTCATAATTATTTTAAAATATTAAAATATTTCACCTACCAGCAGACCAGATTCTAAAAAATCTATCCATTTCTCCCCACATTTAAGTTCTGGAGAAATGTTGTATACCCTAGCTTTGAATGAAACATATTAACAATGCTATTGTCAGATGCTGTGGAAATTCTTTTTTATAATCTGACTTATTTAAAATTTATTCTGATTTCTGTCTAGCATGAGTACATTAAAACTTAACATTCTCAATAATGTGTAACAACCTAATACAATTATAAAACTTTAGAATAACCTTATGAGTGTTAAACATGAAATGAGATTGGTTATTAATTCTGATTTTTAATTTATAATCTGTGGATCATTGATAACCCATGTGAAGATTCCTGGACTTCTTTCTTCCTTAAACTTCTTGGGACTATGTGATCCTGTTGCACCCATATCCAAGAATGTCTCCCTCATCTCTTCTCCATCCCCAGTTCAGTACTTCACCTCTGATCCAAGTCATAATTGAGCATAAAACAAACAAAAAAGGCTTAAGAGGACTCAACAAAGTTTGAGTTGGAAATTTTTCTGAAAATAGACTAATAATCTGCAGATTTACACAGATTGCTGCATTTATTAGACTGATATGCATCATTCTGAAGTGGGGAAAAATTAAGAAAAAACGTTTGAAATGCAGTAACATTCTGTAAACATAGCAGTTTCCTCCCACTCCCTGAAATGAAGATAGCAAAAACTAGACAAAGAAAAAATTTTGTTTTTGTCTCTTGGATAGCTTGGAAATGCTCGTAAGTTGAGTCTTATCCATAAATACAGTACAGATGCAGAAATACAGGCAGGAATGAAGTAACTAATAGCTGTGACTTTTTGGTCTCAAATTTTCAAAGAAGTTGTGGCCTCATTTCTTCCAGCTGCCTATTTCAAAGCAGGCTATGTTATTACCCTGAAAGCAAGACTTCATTTTTTTCTGACTTGTTTCTTGTTCTCATGTCTTTAGAAACCACTATCTCATGAAAATATGTGACATTGAGTTGTGTTTTTATTTATTGAAGGATAACATATTTACAGTAAAGTACATTAATCTTAAGTGGACAGCTTGATAATTTTGTGCATATGGTTATTCCCTTTACACAAAGTTTTTATCCTTTTAGATCTCAGGTTTGACAACCAATGTTGTGGACATTATTTTGGCTCATCACTTTGGGCAGGTAAGTGCCTATTCCAAGCAGGAGAGCTGTGTTTATTGGCTTGCATGCAAAGAAGGGGTTTATCTCAGGAAAGAATAGATGCCTTAGAATTCACCTGATCCTAGTGCTGCATGAGATGCATGTGGCCCAGGAAAGGCCAGTCTTGGGGAGAGGCATTAACTCAATGCCACATGGCTCTTGGCATTTGTAGAGAGATGAGAGAAGGCATCATCCCTACCCCCACCCCCACCCCATACACACACCTGTTCCCTGTAAGCAGCATGCCATATGTTACTGTTTGACAACATCACGTGCCTCACCAAACATCTTTAGAGCCAAAATGAGGTCTGGGAAAGGCTTCACAGAAATAGAAATTTCACAGAAAAAAGAAATCAAGAAATGTTAGCACTAAAAGAACCTTAGAGATTATCCTATTCGATCTCCATGTTTTACTGGTAAGGAAACTGAAGTCTACAGAGAAAGTGACAGTTATACGGATAATTCTGGGTGAGAGAGGGGATCCCAGTCCTCTTTTCAAAGAGAAAAGTGAGTTGGATAATACAGTTCTGACACCAATTACAGTTTGTGTATTTTTTCCCACACCACCAAGCAATTCTTGGATGTCAGCTGGGTGTCCTACAGATCAACTCAATTATACTATCTACCTAGTGGAGATATTGTCAGATCCCACAGGTTAAGGGCTCAGTCCTACAAGACTGCGCCACTTCAGATACCATTCACAAGTTCAGGCTGTCACCTGTGCTTCTGACAGACCAGCTGTATATCATAGATTTCAACAACCCCCTTTTTGGGGTTAATTAATTTGCTAGAACAGCTCACAAAATTCAGAAACATTTTACTTACTGGATTACCCATTTATTTCAAAAGGATATAACTCTGGAATAGTCAGATGGAAGAGATGCATAGAGCAAGGTATGTGGAAAGGGGTGTGGAGCTTTCATGCCTTCTTCAAAGTATGCCTCTTTCCCAGAACCTCCACGTATTCACGAACCTGGAATCTCTCCAGGTTTATGGAGGCTTCATAGTCACAATTGATTAAATCACTGGCTATTAGCTTTTGAACTCAGTCTCCAGCCCCTCCCCTCTCTCTAGAGGTCAGAGGGTGGGACTGAAAATTCTAATCCTCTAATCACTTGACTTGTTTCCCTGGCAACCAGCCCTATTCAGAAATCTTTTAGGGGCTTTCCAAAAGCCACCTCATTAACAAGACAATTTTATTGTTCACTTCCAAAATTCCTAGGGCTTTAGGATCTCTGTGCCAGGAACAGGATGTAGACCAAATATATATTAATAAATCCCAGTATCACATGTGACCTATGAAAGAGTGAGAGAATAAATGAGCAGTGAGGTTGGAGAACTGTGAGAAGATGAGAAAAAATAAGTAGGAGTAAAGTGCACTCACCTGTAGTCTGTGCGTTGGAAGGAGAGTGGTAGGTGGTGAGGAAACTAGCATTTACTGAGCACTCATTATGTATAAAGCACTTTGGCAAGTACTTTAAGACACAAATTCAGATATTTTTCCTGTGGTTCTATTAGACTTATTTTAAAGGAGAAATTGAGGGCCAGAAAGGCCACATAACCTTACCACCATTATCCAGATTGGTGGTAACCTTACCACCATTATCCAAATGGTTTGCATCCAGGTCAGACTAACTCCAAAGTTCAGTCTTTTATTTAGATTATATTTTATTGGAGTTAACAAATTCACATGTTTTAGAGTAGAGATGTTCTACAGGACTTAATACAAAGAATCTGCCACCCACCCCATTTCTTGCTTCATAGAGATAACCACTTTAATTCTTTTAGCTATTTTGGGTTTTGTCTCCTTATTGCTCTCTTTAATTGAGGCATAATTTACATAAAGGGCAAAAATCATACGTACATCCCACTGACCTTTTATGTATATATATTCTCATGTAAATAACTACCACAAAATCAAGATATAGAACATTTCCATCACCCCAAAAAGGTTCCTTTGTATCTTTTCCTACTCTCTAATCCCTTTCTCCAAACAAGGTATTTACTGTTGTATTACCTGTAAAGGTTGGTTTGCATGTTCTTGAACTACATATATATAGAATCACATAGTGTACACTCTTCTGGATCTGGCTTCTTTTTCAATATATTGTCTTTGAGACTCATCCATGTCATTCTATGTATCAGTTCATTCTTTTTATTACTGTATAGCAATCCATTGTGTTAATATACCATAAATAAATATTTCTATGTTATTTCCAGGTTTGGTTTGGGAGGTTTTTTTGGGGGGGGGGGTTGTTTGTTTGTTTATTTGTTTTATTATGAATAAAGCTGCTACGAACATTTCATACATGTCTTTTTGGATATATGCACTCAATTCTCTTTACCTACTTATCTCTAACTACGTATATGTTTCTGCTTGTTGAGTTTAGTTGTAGGCATTATCTGTTGGCATTCCATTATAGAAGATGATTTTTCTCTATCTCTAATACACACTCGTCCTCATGACACACATTTTTTTTTCCCACCACTCTACCTTTCCAATGTAACATGATTTGGATTAGATACATTTCCAGCATTTCCACTATCGTTTTATGTAAATGTTATTCAGAGCTGTGCCATGACTGCTTTCTTCTTTTGTACATTTCTCCTTTGCCAGCTGATAGTGTTAGAATTTATAAAGGATACTGGAGGAACACTGCAAGGTGACAGTGGAAGGAAGGCACTTTCTTTCTAGATTTTGGCTCCTTCTTTAAAAATGTAGCCCTGGGCTGAGTGTACAGGCCTGGTAACACTCAACTCAGCATCCTTCGGATCACACTGTCCCCATCCTGTGGGCCGTTTCTGTACGATCCAGACAGGAGACAGAAAGCACATACTTTGAGCAGAGGAAATTTAAAATAAAATATTGTTAACTAGTAGAAGAAAGTTAACTTCTCAGAGTGGTAAAAGAGGATTCTGAGGGGCCCAACTGACTTAGTTGATCCCTCACCACCAAGCCTGAGAATCTGGTTCTCACAGAAAATAGCCAACCAGTAGCAAAGAAACCTGCCAGAGTTTGAGGGCCATAACTGGTCCATAGAGCCGCTTACGAGGTGAGGGAGATATTTGTCTAAAATAAGGTCTGAGCTGCTACAGAAGCTGCATTTGGCTGCGGGGAATGTGGGCTAAGGGTGCAGCTGCAGCTGGTCTGTGAAGGTTCCTAACGCTTGAGCCACTGGCTCCTGTGCTAAATTTTTAAAAAGAAGTGGCAAAGGGAAAGTGTTTACGCAGTTTAGCTCGTTTTATAAGGAATGGTAGACCTAAGGCTGGGAAACCAGAGATTGAAAGCACAGGAGTTTTCCCCAAATAGCTACTGCTCCCTGGCTGGCTGTCCATATTTAATGAGAGTGGATCACTAAAAGGCCTATGGATACCATATGAGGTTTATTGCTATGGGCAGTCAGACCCAGCCATTTCTTTGGGAAACCCTTGATGTCAACATTTTTAGATCCTTTCTGTGGGAGTAGTCAGATTCCCCAGATAAGTTTTGAGATTGTATACCAGACATTAGTATTCTTGGACCCAAATGCCTGAGGGCCTCAACATTCAGGCTTTAAACTTACACTTAACCTTCCTGTTTGAGTATGGTATATCTACTGCCACCTAAGTCTGTGGTCTCCCAGATTAAAGACCTTGTATTTTATCATTTCCAGAGAATAAACCTAAATACAATTAATTTTTGTATATTGATCTTATAGCCTTAAACCTTGCTGAACTAATTTATTAGCTCTAATGGTTTTTGTGGATTTGTTAGAATTTTCTATATACAAGATCATGTCTTCTGCAAATAGACATAGTTTTACTTCTTCCTTTCCAGCCTGGATACTTTTTATTTCTTTTCTTGCCTAAACATAACTTTCTAGGTCCTGGCTAGAATCTCTACCTCTGATACTGTGTTGAATAGAAGTGATGAGAGTGGACACATCTTGTTTCTGATTTTAGGTAAAGGAAGTTCTATTCCTGGTTTATTGAGTACTCTTATCATGAAAATGTGTTGAATTCTGTCAAGTGCTTTTTCTTTATCGAGATGTATATATGACTTTTGTTCTTTATTCTTTTGATGTGGTGTATTTTTTTGTTTCGTATGTTGAACCAACCTTGCATTCCTGGGATAAATCCCACTTACTCATGATTACTAATATTAAGGATTTTCGTGTCTGTATTCAGAAGGGATATTAATTTGTAATTTTCTTATGATGTCTTTGGTTTGGGTATGAAGGTAATACCTGGCCACTTAGAATGAGTTGAGAAGTATTCTCTCTTATTTTTTGTAAGAATTTGGGAAGGATTGCTCTTGATTCTTCTTTAAATGTTTAGTAGAATTCACATCAAAGCCATCTGGGCCAAAGCTTTTCTTTGTGGAAAGTTTTTATGTTGCTAATTTAATCCCATTACTCATTATAGATCTATTCAGATTTTTAAATTTCTTCTTAAGATATATATATTTTTTTTTTAACATTTTATTTCTTTATTTTTCCCCTCCTCCCTCCCCGCTCCCTTCTGGTAACTACTAGTCCATTGTCCATGAATCTTCTTGAGATACTTTATAAGTAACTTGTGTCTTGCTAGGAATTTTTCCATTTCATCTAAGTTATCTTATTTGTTGACAAGCAATTATTCATAATATTCCCTTAATCTTTTTATTTCTGTAAAGCTGATGGTAATGTCTTCTTTTTCATTCCCGTTTTTAGTAATTTGAGTCTTGTCTCTGTTTTTCTTGGTCAGTCTAGCTGACCAAGTTTTGGTTTCATGTATTTTTCTCTATTCTTTTTCTATTCTCTATTTCACTTATTTCCACTAGAGTCATTATTGTTTTCTTTCTTCTGCTTGCTTTAAGTTTGCTCTGGGCCTTTTGAGCCATGCTTCTCTTGCTCAGGCCCACTTCCACGTCTGGAAGTGTACTTCCTTCTAATAAAACTTTTCTGCTGTTAAAAAAAAAAGTTTGCTCTGTTTTTTCTAGTTTCTTAAGGTGGAAGCTAGTTATGGATATAAGATCTTTTTTATACAGGTATTTACAGCTACAAATTTCCTCTATACACTGCTTTAGCTGCATCCAATATGTTTGGATATTTTTATTTGTCTCAAAGTATTTTTTAATTTCCTTTTGATTTCTTCTTTGACCCATTAGTTATTTAGGAGTATATTGTTTAATTTCCCAAATTACCTTCTGTTATTAATTTCTGATTTCATTCCATTTTGGTCAGAATATACACTTAATATTTCATTCCTTTTCACATTTATTGAGGCTTATTTTATGTCCTAACATATGGTCTGTCCTAGAGAATGTTCTGTGTACACCATGAGAAGACTCTGTTCATTCTGCTGCTATTAAGTGAAGTATTCTATAAATGTCTGTTAGGTCCGGTAGTTTATAGTGTTGTTCAATTCTTCTATTTCCTTGTGATCTTCTGCCTCATTATTCTATTCATAATTGAAAGTGGGGTATTAAAGTTGCCAACCATTACTGTTGAAATTGTCTGTTTCTCTTTCAATTCTGTTTGGTTTTGCTTCATGTATTTTAATTGTTATATCTTCCTGATATTGTCTTTATTAAACTAATCTTCCCTTGTTAGCCCCTTCACTCTCGTCACTGACAGCCTAGCAGCCTTATTGAGTCTGCTAAATGAGTGATTACAGTCTTCCTTCTATTTTCCCACTTTCAGAATGTTATTGCTGTCGTGACTTTTCCTATTGTCTTTGTCCTTATCAGTTTATGACTTATAAAGAAAATTTTTGATGCCATTTTTATGATTTTTCTGGAAGGACCAAAGCTGTTTTAATCCAACATCTTTAATTAGAATTCTCAAAGACCACGATCTTTCCACTACATAATACTGGGTACAGTAGGTACTTTCCTGAAGACATAACATGTTTGGTTTTGACTATAGACCTTAAAAAGCAGTTCACAAAATTTACAAAATTCTATTCTAAGTGCTCTGGGAGAGACAAAGATATATAGGATGACTCATTTTCCAGAAGCTCATTCTGGAAGATGAAATATGCAGAAATACTATTATAACACAGGTAAAAAGATAAGGAATAAGAACTACTTTACATTGATTGCCTTCAAATTTCAGACAGATGTTTTATATGTATTAATCAATTCGATCTAATAAATTCATAATGAGAATTGTAGTATTCCCACTTTATAGGTGAAGAACAAATTGGTTTACACAAAGTCATTAGCTAATAACATATGGAGGGGAGGAGATTTGAAGCCAGATGTGCCTGACTCTGAAGTTTTCCTCTTTCTACCATTCCAGGATGCCTTAAAAGAGGCACCATGAGGGCTTAGAGGAATTCAAAGGCAGGAGAGGTTTACTTCTGATTTGGGGATCAGGGAAAGCTTCAGGGTAGAAGAGGTATCCCAGCTGGGCCATGAAGGATAGATACTATTTAACATTTTAGATTTGGAGAGGAAGCGGGGATCATTCCAGGGAAGAGGAATAATTTGCTCTAAAGCAAAGAGGAAGGAATTATAAGATGTATTCAGGGGATATTAAGTAACCTGGGCAGAGACTTGGTGTAGGATACCTGTGGGAGGTTAATTAGCCAAAGCAGTTACTTCTAAGGCCTTCTAACAGTGCCCAATGTGGAAGAATGAGGCTTCGAGGTATTTGCTTTCAAATATGTTAGAAACACTATTTCAAATAGGGGAAAGCTAAGACCAGAATTTTAATGATTTCTGCAAAGCAAGAACATCCTCAAAAAATATATATATATAATGTATGTTTAATTAAAAACATGAGTGAACACACAATGCAATACACATATGATGTATTATTGAATTGTACACTTGACACCTATATGATTTTATTAACCAATGTCACCCCAGTAAATTTAATTTTTAAAAAATGAGGTCACAGACAATGGGTTATCACAAGGCCTAATAGTTCATTTAAAATTTAAGCAAGCAAATGCTTGTATTGCTTTTATTGCTTTGAAAAGCAATCAAATAAGGTTTTTAAACATGAATAAGTTCATCTGCACTAATAAGAGGAAAAACCCTCAGTGATATCCCCCTTTTTAACCTATCAAATTAGCAAAAATTAGAAAGAGTGATCATTTGTACTAGCAAAGATGTGGGAAAACAGGTAATATTAATAAGTGAGACGGCTCCAAATGTCCCAATAAGGAATGATCTCTACCATAGTTTAAGTGGAAAAGCACTGTGTAGAACAGTATGTCTAACAATTTGTGTTTTTAATAAAGGTAGGTGTGTGGCAATTTATACACAAGAGCTTTGCCTAAGAAATTCCATTAGCACTTAAGCAAGTTTTACCCCTTTTGTATAATATATCTTCCCTTTGTTATCTCACACTTTGCTGCTCAAGTTCCTCTTTAGACCTTTGAGAGCTGGCTATATCATTTCACCCCTAATTACTGTATGCTTCATTTGTTTACTTTTCTTGCTATATCTTAGGCATTTACCAGGTTTTCTTGGAGTGATTCCAGTGCCCTTCAGCTTCAGGTAGACTCTAATCCATTTGGTCAGTTTCCAACTGTATTCTTGGCTCGTTTCACCCACACGGTAGTGAGAAAGCAAACAAATGTTCTCTTTATCTCTCTTTCTCTACAAAGCTTGCTGGTAACCTTTACACACTGCCCTGGATTAACTGACTCTCTTGCTATCCCTGATACATTTCTTTCCTCCAAGCAAACATTTCCCTTCTGCTTAAAACTGCTTACTGGTGTGTGCATGTGTGCGCGCGCATATGGACATATATTCTTATGTACACAAAAACCTGGCAGCTGGTTCTGATGGCCTCGGAGAAGGCCAGCAAGAGAGGGACCATTGGACAGTGGGTGGTAGGAGACTCACTTTTTACTGTATATGCCATTTTGTTTCTCTTGAATTTTATACTTTTAATAGTGTTAGTAATAAGATTAAATAAATCTTTAATAAAATGCCATAAATGGAATGTAGTATATAATTTTATAATGTATATTATTACTATTAATTAGTATATAAATAGATAATACACTGCTTATATCAATTAAGGTATAGATAAGTTAATTATACAGGTTTCTGGCTATTAAGAGAAATTTTACTGTCCCATTTATTTTACACTTTACAGTTCATATAACTTTTCTTTTTTAATCTTTAAAATAGTCCTATCAGGTAGCTAGTTATTATCTTCAGTTTACAGACACTATCTCTATTTTTATGAGAAATGGCAGAACATGAAAAAAAAAACACATAAGGAAAATAGGGTTCCAAATGGTCAGATGATCTAAGTTCCATAACTAGTACTCGAATCCAAGTCTAGTACAGTTTTCCACTGTGCTTCAGGTAATGATATTCAGCATATCCCTAAGTTTTTGCGCTTGACCTGGAGTTGATTACCAGCCTTTTCCATCATAAATTCTTTGGTACCCTCATTCATCAAAATGTGGCACTGGATGATGCAAATAAAAAAGATTTTAGCCAGCCCCATCTTGGACAGAGATTTGGACATTGAGAATGCAGACTAAATGAGATAGATTTGTACTGTAGCTCAGAAGTTTACCTGTGTCTTTCAATTGTTCTAGGAAGAGTTGCAGGCCAACCTGGACCTGATTCAAACCTACAGACTGCATATTGCCCAAGATATCAACCAAGAAAACCTACAGCTCTTCCTGGCTTCTTATAATGGGTACAGTTGTTTCTTATACCTTCACTTAATGCAGACCAGGTCTAAAAAGATAATGGACATTTAAGGGAGAGGGTAAAGGGAAATAAACTACTTCTTCCAGTGTCTTGTGATGAGATTGCTTTCATACTGTTTCACCACAGTAGAAGAGAAAGGGCTTTTAGACAGATAGGAACACCAATTTCAAGACAAATGAACCGAAGGCTGTTCTAGGCAAACTTAAATACCTGTTGTAGTTTTTAGGTGTTTTGAGACAAACTGTACCTAAAGTTATGTACACGCACAAAGAGATGCAATTTGAGGTGGCACAGAAAAATGCCTGTAGGGGAGGCAAAAGATAGAAGTCTTGGGCCTTGATTCAGTTTCTCTTTGCTGACATCTTGTCATCAGGCAGAAGTAACACGTGAACACTAGTAAATTCTCTTGTTTGTGTATTCCGAAACCTGTCACATCTCCCCCAGTCACTGAGAGAGCCTGATTCTTATCTTGGGACCAGTTTCTCCAAGGTTAAAATGTTAACTCTCCTTTCTGGGTACATGGAAAAAAATTGAGGAAATGAGTCAGTTGGAAATTACCCAGAGTAACACAGTCAGTAAGGAGCAAAGCCAGGTATTGATCCCGGTCTGTCTAGCTTCTTCTTCAATATAACAGAGCCTCATTATTTTTAGCTGAAATCAGAAAGGTTTACTAAATAACTGCACTAAACTATGTTAGTTACAAGGAAAATTTCTCCCAAAAAAGTTTCCCTTCTCTTAAGGAATTTATTCCTATAAACCAGTTGGAAAATTAAACACTTAGGACTTGAGGATTTCAGTAGTGTTGTTGAGTTTTAAAGTTGCTTTCTTTTAGCATCCCACAGAGTCCTTCAGGGTTAAGCTAGGAGCCTTGTTCCTGCTCTGTACCACTCAGGATGCCACTGACATGGCTGCTTTTGAACAGATTGCACAAGGGCCTCTTTCCTTGGGTGTGAAGGAGAGAAGAGTTTTTACATTTTGTTTTTCATGACCAGAAAATAACCTGACTTGCCATGATTTACCTGAAAAGGGCATTGCTTCCTTTGTTTCTCTAGACGCAGAGACTTGGAGATTGAAAGACCCATGCTGGGCCAAAATGACAACAAATCAAAGACATTAAAGTAAGTCCCTCAGTTTCTCCTATATATTGCTAAATATATTTGTCTTTCATAGACGAGTTCTGTGTTCAGTGGAGCACATGCGCAGCTTACTGAGTGTCACCGCTTATTTTGCCTTTCCTCAGGTGTTCTACTTTATTGGTGGTAGGAGACAATTCACCTGCAGTTGAGGCTGTGGTAAGTATGTCCTGATGTTGTGAAGATTAATAAGATTAAAATGCAATAAAATATATGCAGCATGCTACTGACGCACCAGAAACAGTAGACTAATACTAGTTTTTGTTATTTCTTATTATACATATCAGAGTTTGCTCTTTATTATCCAGTTTGGGAAATGAATTCCTCATTGATCACTAGGTTTCATCAGAAGGGATCAATATTGTTTTGTGTGGTGCAGTTCACTTTGGGGCAAGTAGTGTAACTAAACACCATTTGTTTGTTGTCAGATTTCTGCCAGCCTTGGCATTCTGCAGCCACCATAAATCTGGAACTGTATCAGCAGGTTGGAAGCCTGCTGAGAGCATGTATGCTTTTCTCTTCGTCCTCAAGCATATAGTACTTTGGTAAAAATAATACATGCTCAGTGTAGAAAATATGAAAAAATTGGGAAATAGAAAGATGGGAGGGCAAATCATGATCCAGAGTTACCCAAAGACAAACTTTTATTATTATTATTTTTTTAAGATAGATTGAACTGTATTAAATATACAAGGTTTTGGGACCTGATTACATAACATTACTGATAGCATTTTCCCATATTATAAAGACAGTATGTCTATAGAACATTGTCTTGTAAGTATACCTTTGTTTGTTTAACCTCATTCTCCTGTTGATTACTTCTGATCTTGCCCTCTTAATAATGTTTCTGTTGAACATCCTTATAAAATCTTTGCTAGAATCTTTGATCATTTCTCTAGGATAGATTTCCATAAGTGGAATTAATGTGTCAAAAAATCATAAACTTTTCTAAGGTTCTTGGTACCTTTTTTGCCAGGTTCTTTTCCAGAATGCCCACACCAGTGTGTTGCCACCAGCAATGTATGAGTGCCTGTTTCACAGCACCCTGTCCAGCATCGGATTTTTAAATTCTGTTAGTTAATTCAATAGGTTAAAAATGGTGTTCCCCTTCTTTAATTTGCACTTCTTTGATTACAAATGAAGTTGATAGTTTTTCATATGTCTATTAGCATTTGCTTGTGGTTTTCTTTGGCAGCCTTCACTTCCTATTTAGAGCAAAATGTTAGGGAGTAAGGCTTTTTAGAAAGATAGTCTAATAACTAATCGGAGGTGTAAGACACGAGAAGGTTTGTGGGGCAGGGTTAGATAAATGTGACAATAGAATATATTCATACCGCCCTGAATTGCTCTGTAAAACATTCTGTGTCTGATGTAAAGTACATGATGTGGCTTGAGCACAGAGGTGAGTGATCCTGAAGTCAAAAAACAGTTTTTCCCCCAAAAGTAATAAAGTTATAGTGATGATCCTAATTTATTAAGAAGGAGTTTTATAAAGGTCAGTCTTTTCTGAAAAGGTAGAGATAGGTATATGAAAATATCTATCCAAAACATTTTTTTCATAAACATGTACTTAAAACAGGAAGGTAGTGTTGTTTTTAGAAAATATCCATATCAGAATTCCCTAATAATGCCATTATTTGCCTTTTTTAAATTGACATGAACTTAAAGTAACATTTCCAATTATTTTCCAAGACTTTATAGGTTAGCCCATACAAATAAGGTCCTTTTTTCTGATTTTCACACCTTCAGTATTAGTAGGGAAGGATTTCAGGAGCCTTATCGGTACCACAAAGTAGATGCTCTTCTAGACAGATTCAGACCTAGCTCTCCAGCCAGAGCATTTTCTCCCACAAATTGGTAGGGATTAAAGGGCTATTCATGCATGAAGAAACCACAAGTTCTGGTCACTGTTGATAGCTGTTTTTGCTCACTTATTCATTCAACATCATTTTTTGAGCTTCTATTTGCTCGATGCTATGGAGAATACAAAAATGAGTTAGATGGAGTCTTTGCATTGGGGAGCTTGGTAAAGAGTAGACATGTCATAAAACAATCATTGTGTTTGGCCTACCAGATATGGAGACTTCTTGTAAAGTTATAGAAATTACGAAGTGGCACATCACAGAAAGCATGATTTATTTTATTAAATCCAGACTTGGAAGTTTATTCTTCCAGAAAGTATGTATTGCATATCTGGTAAGCACTGTGCCTGGCAGTTTTCAAATACTATCCTTGAGGGTTAATGCATATTTTATAGTAAACTGGTATGTTTGTTTATCACTGCCTGTGTTTTCATTTGTATAGAGAAAAAACTGATTTGGTGATCCTGGCTTTTAAAGGTCAACCCCTGTTTTTAGAAGAGTTTTGTATACTACTGTCAACAATTCCCAGAGCAAAAGTTCAGCTGTATTGCTGGTTCTCACCTAGGTAATTTCAGTAACTCCCTAACTGGCTCACTGCCTCTACAGTCTATTATACAGGCCACTACTAGTTACTTTCCTAAAACAGCTCAAACCCTGTCACCTCAGAAACTTTCTGCTTCTTGCCTTCCCCCGGTTGCATCCTCACACCACCTTTACCTCTGTAACCCCACATGTATTATACACATTCACTTCACATCCCCTTGGGTCTTTGCTTATTCTTTCCCCCTGACTCTGGAATCCATGAAACACCTACCCCTTCTTCTTAATTTATATCTAGAAAACCTACACTTCTTATACTCACTCAGCTCAGTTGTGAAATTTTGAAGTGATGTTATTCTGCCTTGTATTATATGTTTTTACCCCACTAGATTCCAAACTCTAAGTGTTTTGTATATGTGTATTTGGCAAGCATGTGTAAAAGGAGAGATCCAGTTGATCAAATTGGCCATAAAACATTGCCGAACCTAGAGATTATCTTTCCAAATGTTTATTTTGAGGTCTCTGCCTTTGTGGATACAAAAGTACAAGATACCAAACATGTAAATACACAAGGTTGTAATGCTTCATTATGTATGATGACTGCTGTGAGAGAAAAACCATAAAGGGTTCAACTTTAGATGCAGCCAAAGACCTTGAGGAAGAAGAATCAGAGTGTAAGGAATGTCAAACCCATGACCTGCAGGGCACAGGAAGGGAGTGAGAAATGGTTGGGGGATGTGCACAGGGCTAGTCAGGGCCAGTTGTGTGGGAAGCCACTCTTTAAAGAAGTAGGTAACTCCACCCATGTAAGAGGAATTAGATTCAATATGTAGTTCTTTAAAGACGCGTAACAGATTCAGAAAATGAAATTATCCAGATTTTTAGATCTACTCAGAAATAGCAGCTATAAAGTGCATCATACAAATATAGATCTCCCACTTTATATTTTGGTAATTTTTTTGGCTGTTTCACCTGCCTCCAGCCTGAGCTATTGATCCTGGAAGATCTTTCTCATGCCAAGCTATTTCTTGTTCTTTTTTAAGGTTGAATGCAATTCTCGCCTGAATCCTATAAATACAACTTTACTAAAGGTAAAGTATCTTCTTTCCTCATTGCCAACCTTTTTTGAGTAAATCTATAATACATGGTTCAAATTACTGTATTTCTGCAATAATTGCCCAGAAAGAAGGAAAGCTCCTCCCTCCTTCCTTCTCTCTCTCTCTTTCTTTTTAAAAATATTTTTTTTCTGAATATATTCTCATTGTAGAAAATTGGAAAATAGAGAAAAGTAGAAATAATTTAAAAATTACCCATAATCCTACTGCATGATGGTAATCTGCAGTAAAAATATTGATGTATTTTTTCCTGTACATTTTTAGATCATTAATATCATAAGATGTTATAGCCCTGTATCTGTTTTCCTCAACTTTTTGACAAGGAAGCTTCTGATAACATTCTAGTGATGAAGATACATGCATTTTCTTTCTCTTAGGGCAAATAGAGCACAATTCTTGTACCACACTTTTAGAGTTAGTATCAAGTTTCTCTCCCTTTGGATTGTACTTCAGTCAAGAGAATCAGTCTTGCTTGTTCTAGGACCTCTAGTAAATTGTTCAGGGACCTGACCTCCTAGTTTGAATTTGGATTACTGTAGATTTAAGTGCTGATCTTATGTCGCTTACTGCCGCTTTCTCAGCCTAAAAGACCTCTGCTTTCTTCTTTCAAGTTTGTTTGAAAGGGAAGTGCTATCACCAGAAGCAGCCCATAGTTCCTGGAAATATAACATGAGGTTAATGCTCTGAGGTGACAAAACTCAGTGTTCTGAGGTCCAGGTGATAGATGAACTAGTCTAAAATATGATTTTTTTAAGTATGTGGTTTTAAATTTTTTACTGCAGGTTTGATTCTGTATTCCAAAAGCACAAAACCGAACTGTACAGTAGCCATGGATGTGGTTATTTCAGAGCAAAAATGTCTATCCACAACAGCATGATTGAAATTACTCTCCAACTATTTGATAGATGTCAAGCTTGGAAATAGTCTCTCCCAGTAGTCTCTCTCTGTGCATGGCATCTCTTTCATGGTTCTAATTAGATTTGACTCCTAAACTTCATGAAACTACAACCTGTGCCAGTTAGGTGTATCTTATACTTAAATCAGGTTAAATGTTTATTCCTGCTCTTAGAATTTTCAGGAGACTGTTCCTATTAACCTCAAATTCTTGTGCCTTCTGTAGCATTCCATCTGCTAAATAAGCCCCCTACTCAAAGAAAGTTTTCATACTAGTGAATAGAAACCACAGGGTTCATGTCTCTTTGAAAAATGCCAGTCAGCCTGAATAGGATATTATCTGAGTACAGAATGCATAACAGCTGGAAGAGGTGGGCTCATGGTTGGCCATTATGCTCTAGAAACAGTGTTCTCTGCAGGCCAACAGAATCTGCATCACCTGGATGCATGCTGGAACTACAAGTTCTTGACCCTCACCCAAGAATCCAGAGGGCAGGAACTTAAGAATCTGAGTCATTAACAAGTCTTCCAGGTAATTCTGATGCATGCTAACAGAGCCCTGCTCTGGAAATCCTTGCACAGGTGAAAATAACCAGCTGTAAAGATTCATGAAATGAGAGACAGCCTCACTAAGTCTAGCTGTGAGAGGAAACTGGCTGACCAAGCGAGTTGGCCAAATTCAACATCACCTGATTTGAGAAATCCCCTTAGTCATGGAATAAAGATAATATAGACTTGAGAGGGAATTTAGAAAGCATGGAACCCTGAGAAGTTAAGGTCACACTGAGGACTCTAAAAGTAATATTCTTCAAGTGAAGGCAGAACCATCGTTGAAAGTCGTGGTTAACTTTGCTGCTACCCCAGACAGAAAATTCCCACCATGGGCCTGAAAGCCAGGCTCTACACCTTGCTAATTAATTTGTATTGAATGCATCTTTTCAGGCTTCTATCCAAAGTTATTGCGAGAATCTAAGTCTTTGTATAAGAGTGCATTGAGGTAATGCAAAAAGATTTTTAATTAAAAGTGCATTGAGAAGATGTACACTTGGATGCACTTAAACATTAGGTTAAGGAACCTAAAATTCAATCCTATCCTGTTTGAAAGGACTCTTGGATAGTCAAAGCATTTCCCTTAAGTGTAAGTTCCAGTTGACTTCCATATTTTTCCTCTTTCTAGATGGCAGACTGTGGTGGACTGCCCCAAGTAGTTCAGGTAAGGAGAATATTTTTAAAGCACCCAATTGACTGTACCTCATTGCCTGTGCAAAGATTAATGACTTCTTATTTTGTCCCTCTAGCCCGGGAAACTCACCGAGGCCTTCAAGTACTTTTTGCAGGGAATGGGCTACAGTGAGTAGTACACAACTTTCTAGCAAAGATTTATTAATGCTGAAGTCATTTTGACATCTCGTGAGAGCCCACAATTCTCAGGACATAACCTCTGTGCTAGCCAGCCTGAAGTCAAGTAGAAACCAAAACATTTATGGAGCATTCATCTAGGCACATATATAAGATGAGCTAACACTTATTAAGCACTTAGAGGGGTTATATGCCGGTATTCTGTATTTATTATAACCTTAAGAGGTAAGTTCCATTGTTAGTCTCATTTTATAGAAAAAGAAACAGGCTCAAAGAGGGTAATCACATTTCCTAGGGTAACAATTTAGCTGCAGAGCCATGACTCAAATCCTGGCAGTCTGACTCCAGAGCCCACATTTATAACCACTGGAGCTTAGGCTGTCCTAGCTGTGAATCTGAAATAGTGATTTGCATTTGAAGTCAGCTGGTTAAACACTCCTGGCGTAGAGAAACAAAACAGGGACTCCAGAAGAAAGGGTAGTCATTCCAGTTAAATCTGCTCCGCCACAAGAGATTAACTTGCAAAGTATTTTAGAGCGAGTCCAAGGATGTGTTCATATCACGTGCTGCTGTCCTGGTTTCTCTGTTTTGTGAGGCCCTGAGCTTTATCATTTGTCACCGAAATCCACACTTGCACCTTTCTTGGAGTTTTAAGAAGAAAAACTCTTCCACCCAGGTACAGAGCTCTTTACCCAATGGGGTGGTTTTCTCTTGTCTTTGGTATTGATGTGGATAATGGCCACTGCGCAGCAGCTGGGCCCCTGGGTACCGCCCTGTACCTGGCAGGCAGACCATGTGTATGTTGTCTAGAGTGGCTGTGTGATCCCCGTGTGTGGTCCACTACCAACCAAGCCCACACCGTGTCCCCCTGACTCACTGGGAGGAGCAGGATTCCCTCCCCTATCTGGTTCTCTCATAGGTTTCCTAGGAAACAGCTATCTTCCAGCCCATTTTGATCCAAAGCAGGATGGCTGTTTATAGTGGAGGGGAAAACAGTTATCTTTGACTGGTCGAAGGAAGTAACATCTGAGATGCTATTGAAGAATCCATCAGCCTCACCTCTTCTCTGAAACCTTAAAATAAAACTTGATTTCTGACTTAAAGTATTCTGTCAGTGTCTGCTAGGCAGCTGAGGTTGCCACTTGGCACTCTTAGGTCACTAACCTGCCTTTTCCTGTATCCACCTGCTTCCAGTCCCGTATGTGCAGCTCAGTCACCTGAGCACCGAGTCAGGTACCTTCTTCTGTGCTGGTCCTGCCCCTGCCTCCCAGCCACGCTCTCTTGGCTGCATTGGCTGCCTGCAGCATGTCCGCGGTTTTCCTATGCAGTGAGAGCCCGATAGAACGTGGCTCATTGTGCCCCAAAAGGATTAGCCTACAGATCCAGCCCTGGGCCCCCAGAAAGGAAGACAGGAGTGGGTTATAATAGCCAGGCTTCCTCTTATCATCCCCAGCTGAGTTTCAGGAGTAGCTGAAATTTATAGGCTCCTCTTCCACCATTACCTGTTGATCCTTGCATTAACCTCCAGGGCAGCCTTGATTCTAAATAGCGTCAGAGCCTGTGTCCAAAAAATTCTGCAGGTGATGGCATCTTTAACCCCATCATTGAAATGACAGCTGGGGAATGGCTAGTGCCTCAGGAAGATAGGCAGGAATTTTACGTCAGGTAAGGCCCTATGCTGGCCAAGCTGGAAGGACCTTAGGTTCAAAGTAGTGCCAGAACCGGAGTCTGAGTTAAACATCCATCCCAGAGCCCTTCTCTCTCAGGCAGCCTGTACCTCACAGCCTGCGCAGAGGCCAGCTCCAGGCCTACCAGCCCTCCCTACACCCACATCTTCCTACATGTCTCCTCCCCAGGTAGCACGGATAGCCTGTGGACGCGGATGGTAGTCTTGTTGTATCGGGCTTGCACTGTGTTTGTGAAATACCTTCATACTTGTGTGGTTTGTCTTTCTTTTGGTTTAGTCTTGCATGCACTGCAGGTTTTGATTACCTTTTGGGTTCCCAAAGCCTCCTTCCTAATTATTCATTATGAATGGTGTGGGCATAGCTAGGAGGCTATACTTCAGACTTAGGTTTCCCTTTGTTCTGCTTTGGACTAGAATCAGCTGAGATTCCAGCTAGATCCAAAGGATTAAAGCAGCCTTACATGTAGCCATTCACCTAGAGCAAATAATACAAAGTGAAGATGGCTGTGTCTTGTCCTGGGTGTCACCTTAAATGGGTTGGAAACACTAATCAGAAAGCCTTTGGTGAAACTTCTGGGTTAACAATTTAACCAGGGCTCCATATTCTAGTGGTCTTGGTTCTTTCTTACAGTACCATCTGCCAGCATGACCCGGCTCGCCCGATCACGAACCCACTCAACCTCAAGTAGTATCGGCTCTGGAGAAAGTGCCTTCAGCCGATCTCTCACCAGCAATCAGTCAGATGGAACTCAAGAATCCTCTGAGTCCCCTGATGTTCTGGACAGACACCACACCATGGAGGTGTCCTGCTAAGCAGATGCTCCTCCCCTGGACCATGCAAGTTCATCCCCCTTCAAACAGCCACTCCATAATATAACATTTCATCCAGCAAACTGGCATCTGTCTTTAACTCATGCATGACCACTGACTCTTACTCTCTATTATCTTGGATTTATCATTCACTGCCTGCCTGCCCCCCTTTTTGTATGTATGTACAAAGAACCACTTCCATGACATTACTGTAACATTCCAACATCTTTAGCTGATCAAATCTCCTTACCTTGTCAACTTTACCCCGTGCTTTCCCAACTACGTATCTGATATTCTTTGATCTTGATGTATGTGTGTGAGCACACGTGTCTGTGTTTGTGTGTGCATAGTTCTGTAATTTTAGACATGCTTTCTTGTAGAGCTTCTGCAAAACAAAAAAAAGGGACTTTTTTTTTTCCGTTTTCAATGGTGTTTTTAGGGGAAGTATTCAGAACAGATTTCTAGGTTGGGTAGGCCACTGCATTCTCTTTTGGTTCCAAATTGGTCAACAATATTTTCAAAGTGACTCCTGGAAGGAGCAGTTCTGAGGAATGTAGAAGATCATAATTACTATTTGGACTATTGATTGATCGTGACCAGTAAAAGGGAGCCTGTTACATAGAGAAGCGGGAAGGATGGCCAGCCACCTCCTTCTGTTCAAATGAATTCACATACACTATTCTATAAACAAAAGGGAGGGATATGTACTGTTGGAAGCTAATAGATGATGAGGTTCTGATGCAACATGAAGCTGTTCCCAAGGGCTGAGTGTGGCTTAATTACTGGACTCTTGTAGCACAGGAAGGTGGAAAACAAAATGCCAGGCATTCGCTCTGCTGGAGCAAAACTGTCGCTGCAGTATCTGATACCACTTCCAGACGTCCGCAAGAAGTGCTTCCCAGGTCTGCAATGGAGAGAGTTTCTCCATCCCTCCATCCTCAAAAAAGGGAGAGCTGTGGCCTGAAAGTTATGTAAGTGGTGAGGAAATGGCAGGGGAGAGCGGAACAGACATTAACGGAATATCGTATTTAATAACTATAAGCTTGATTTAAGCAGACTTAATGGAAACTAAGTGAACCTGTGATAGAACTCATTTCTCAGAAAGATCTTTAATCCTGTGAACTCTTTTGTAGGTAGGAGGGAAGGGGCCGATATGTAAGGGCAGCTTAGCCTGTTCAGGTAAAATTTTGTTCAGTCTACTGTTGTATATCACTGGGCAGAGGGTGAAACCAACTGCCGTAGAGCCAGGTTCCAGCTCTTGAGGGCATCAAGATGTAAGTGCAGGGTGACACAATTCTAAATCTTAGGCAGGGGCTTTTCACATGTAGCGTTCGCTTTCTGTCAAGATAGGGAATGCGTCACTCTGCCAGAGTACAACTTTTTACAGATTATTAAATAAAGCTGTATATGTCTAATTGTTACCCAATTGCTGGTGTTATTTCTCTCAAGCCACTCACTGGGGCTCAGGGGGGACCAAGTTACTGTATATACAGGGCTCCGTGCTGGGCGTTTTTACATACTTGATTATTATCCCACCCAGTGAAGACTCAAATAATTTGCCCAAGGTCATACCAGAAGCCTGGCTGGGATTGAACCCCAAGTCCATCTTACACGCTTCTATTTTCCTCAAACCAAAAATCATGAGAAGCCCGACCTTGCATTTTGTGATGAAAGAGTAGAAGCTGAGATCTTGGAAGTGCATTGCATATCTCAGCTCTACCATCCGTGTGGGGTTGCTGAGTCCCACCCTTCAGTAAGAATCTGCAACCACTGTTGTTGGTTCCTCAGACAGACCAGGCTTTATTTCTCCAGAAATGGCTGTCTCTGTACCCACGAAGAATGAGTTCAGCGGGCCACCATCTCAGGTCAATTTTAAAGGATCCAGGAGCTGTTACTGCCGTAGTACATTAGGGTTCCTATGTCTGTGGGAGAAACTTGTAAAATGACACAAAGAGATGAAACAAATGCACATGGACCAGATACAGGTCATCAAGCTGAGTTCCTGACATTGCAGGCCAACATAGTTCCAGAGCTGGAGGTGGTCTGATGGTTACGGTTGCTCTTAAAACCCTCATTGCTGTAGCCTTTTTGGCCACACTCAGCATGGACAGTCACCTGCTTTCCCACCTTAGATTTGTGCCTGGAGTCAGGCCCCAACTGAATGCACCTAATTGGTCTTTACTGCACTCATTCCTCTTCTCATTTTCATTTCCTTCCTGTTTAGTCCAAAAAAATCTTGGGTGCCTGCTTTGTGAGAAACAAGGAAGTGGCCAGGTAGACCCTACACATGATGATCGTATAAAGCTCTCCCATGTAAATCGTCTTACCCAGTTCTCAGGGCAACTTTGCAAAGCGGGCAGTGTTTTATAGACAAGGAACAGCTGAGGAGAGTTAGAAGATTTGGCCAAGGTCATGTAGCTAGAAAAATTTCCCAGTTTTTCCAAAATCAATTCGTTTGCATATTTTCTTCAGCCTTTTATTGAGCACCTACTACAGTTTGGGCCCTTAGCAACTTCCTTTATGTTCCTTCTATCGACCCAGTGAGCTACACACTAGTACCATTTTTATGGAAATGGTCACAAACTAATAAGTGGCAGAGCTAAACTTTTAAATTCTAATTCTTAGGTGGTTTCCTGAGTGGAAAGAGAGAGTATAATGTGGGATATTTTTTTTAGTCCAAAGAGTCCCTACTTCTTGCCTCATTTGTGGACCTTACCTTGAGGCCAATCTAAAGTCTACCTGGCAGATAAGATAATGGACATCAGCGTGGTATGCAGGCAGGAGCAAGAGGGCGAGCCTGTACTTAGTTCCCTCTCTGCCACGGGCCACATCCTTCAGTAGCCGGCACCCATTCAAACACGGTAGTTAAAATTTCCTTACAGAGCATTCACCTCCAGTGTGGCTCCTCTCCATGCCAAGTTTCTGCAGAGTTAAATCTCAAACCAGCCTCCTCTGGGAAAAAGGGGTATGTTCCCACTGGCCAGGCCCCCAAAAAACCTGCATAGTTTAAGCTGGAGGGAGGAGCTATTTCAGTGCAGTGGATCATTTTGTGTTAAAAAGTGACTGTCTCCAGGAATACTAAGCCCCCTAATGCAGTAGTTCTCAACTTTTTTGTCACCAGGACTGGTGTGCCTATGAGAATCTAATGCCTAATGATCTGAGGTGGAGCTGAGGTGGTGACGCTAGCACTGGGGAGCGGCTGCAAATACAAATGAAGCTTTGCTTGCTGGCTTGCCGCTCACCTCCTGCTGTTCAGCCAGGTCCTAACAGGTTCCTAACAGGCCATGGACCATTAGTTCCCGGTCCACAGCCCAGGGGTTGGGGGCCCCTGTAACGGAAAAGCAAATGGGTATGGTTATGTAGATTTTTATGAGCTGGAGATTTTATTTACGTTTCAGTGACTGAGGTTAATACCAAAATCAAAGGCAGTTCTATCAGAGCTACTTTATCCTGGCTGAGTGATTCCCAAGCTAGGGGTGTGCATCAGAATCACCTGGAGGGCTTGTTGGCCCCACCCACGGAGTTTCTGATTCAGTAAATCTGAGATGGAACCAGGGAATTTGCATGTCTAACAATTTCCTGGATGATTCTGAGGCTGCTGGCCTAGGGATCATACCTGGAAAACCGCCGTCCACAGGTCTTTCAAAGTATGGTCCCCAGACCAGCGACCTGGGTATCACCTGGGAGGAGTTAGCAATGCAGAATCTTGAATCCCTGTCCCAGACACACTGAACCTGAACCTACAGTGTAACAAGATCCCTGGATGTTTCCTATACACATTAAAGGTTGGGAGACAACACTCCAAGGCAGTGCTTCCCAGACTTGCCAATCAAAGGGATCTCTTGGAGTGTTTAAAATTCAGGTTCCCAGGCTGTTCCTCTTGGATTCAGATGTGGGAGGATCCCAGGAATCTGATACTAACAAGCCCCTCACGTGATTATTATGATCAGGCAAGCATGGGAAACTCCTGCTAAAATTTACCAAGGTCTTGTGTTCCTCGGGCAAGACCAAGCCGTAAAGCCAGAGAAAAACCTCTCCCTCAAGGATCATGACCAGGCAGCCACTTCTTCCCCAGAAACAGGAACTTGAGGAAGGTGGCTCCTCGATGATCTGTGATGCCGTCAGAGGAAATAGGTGGTTGTGAGAACCACAGAGCCTGCAGACGTGAGCCGGGAGCTCCAAGGACCCTATGACTGCTCACAGAGCTCTGGGCCATCTTCTCAGACCCAACTGTGCTTGGGAGGACCGCCCGGTCGGGGGTCTCTAAGGAGCAAGGGACTCTTGTTCCATCCCATGTTACAAACTGCTGACCACAGGCAGATGCGGAGCTACCCAAAGCGATACCGAGAGCCTCTCCCTGAAGATTCTCCCAGGCCAAGAGGGTCCTGGATATCCTAGAACTAAGGATGTTGGCAGACTTCCAGATGGACCCCCCAAAGCCCTAACATCTTCAGCCAAAGCATGCATCTTAGCTGAGCCCCCACCCCAAGCCTCTGATGACAGGAAACCAGTAAGTATGCTTGCTTTTGTTTTTTGGTTTGGGACTGTGAGTGGGCTTCAAAGTTGGAAAACAAGCTCAAGGAGAAAGGAGAGACTGGGAGTGGGCTTCAAAGTTGGAAAACAAGCTCAAGGAGAAAGGGGAGTGGTTCTGCTGAGGCTGTAAGAGGGGTGATTTCTGAATGTCCCTGAAGGAACCGAGGCTTCCCCTCTCCACCTTTGACTGTCCTCTGGAGAATTACATTGTTCCCTCCTGCTTGTCTGCATGCCTGGTCTGGTCTCATCTCAGTTACCAAGTTGCTGTGTGACTTTGGACACTCCCAGGTCCCTAACCTTCCAACGCTAGTGAATGAGAGGAGTCTGGATTATAATCTCAAACACTTTCAGCTCTAGCGTCCATCGGTTCCTCTCAAAAGGGTAATATTTCTTAGTTGAAGAGGGAGGTCACCCTTTAGCTCAATCTAAATTCATTACTCTTACTCCACTGCTAAGAAATTCTTTCGAAACACAAAAACATGGATTGTAGACCCAGCTCTACAACCAGCTATATAACGGTGAGCACGAGGTCGCCCTCTCTGGGCCCTGGTTCTTGTATCTGAAATGGGATTCAAACTTTGCCGACCTTCAAAGATTCAAGTGAGGTGATCAAAATACATTTGTGGGCAGTGTACTGATTTTAGCTGCCTTTTACTAACTCTTCCACCTACTGGCCCAGGGCCCCTAGAAAGTGCCTAACACATAGTAAGTTGTTTAAATACTTATGTAATTAATGATTAGGTTCTCTCAAAAGTTTGGGCCCATACCTTCTCATCCTAGGCCTGCCCACCCCATGGTCTTAATTTTGCCCTCCAGGAGGCTTCCTGGCCAGACCAGGTGAAGGGAGCCAGCAGAGAGTGCTGGGGGCTTCCAGCCTGAGTACAGTTCTACCTTCTTCGGGCCCATCCCCCAGCTCCACCTGCTACGTGAAGAAGTTTCTGGGTTTAGTGCAGTTGGTGATTGTGGTGACTTTGTCTTGCTGAAGGAGGAGAAAGGAAACCTTTACTGAGCACCCACTCTGTGCCAGGTTCTGCGACGCCCTCTCCACACACATAAAGCCCTGTAGACTTGGTATTATCCCTGATTTACAGATGAGACTCAGAAAGGTTACATGCTTTTCCTGAGATCACACAGCTCCAGGTTGGTCTGAATTATTCATGCTACCCAGGAAAGATCTCCTCTGGGATTTTTTGGATATCTGCACAGTTAAGCATAGAGCCTGTACTTCATATCCATGGGGAGAAGAAAGGCTGGGGAGCAGCCTAAGTGTCGAAACGTGACCTAAATTGGGATGCCCAGGCAGTGAGAGAATCAGAGACCTGCGGAGGCAGCAGCACCATCTCAGGCTGCCAACGCTTCGAGATCCCAAAGTCTGAACAGGAAGTGGCTGTCAGGAGCCATTTCCTAAAGGTGGATTTTGTGTTGAAGAGCCCCTGTCCCATGAATGCTGACCTGCCCATGGGAGGCAGCAACAAACAAGCACTGTCATCCCCATGTCAGTGACTCGAGACTGCAGAATAGAGCATAAGCCCCTTGCACAGTCCTTCCCTCCTCTAAGGCAGGCTCTTCACTCCTCAGGCAGGATAGGCTGTGAGGCCGTGGAAGTCACTCCATGATCATGACAGACACCCATCCTCACCCAGGTGTGGCGAAGGGTTCGAAGGCCAGCATGGAGTATGCTATGTCACCAAACTAGTGTAATTATGCCTTATGAAACCCTTTGAAAGAATGAAACCACCTCCCCGAAACATTTTAAAATTGTGTTGGGAAAAATCAGCATTACCCTGGAAACCAGGGAATCTAAATTATTCTAAGGATAAGACACCTGCCCAAAGAGCTAATAATTTTGTCCATTTAGTTAATATGCATTGAGTGCCTTCTATGGGCCAAATACTTCATGAAATGTTTAAGAAATGGGTAAAAAGAGACCCTGTACTCATTGAGCTGTGGAATAACCTCAGATTAAACAAATAAAAGCTTTAATAAATGAATAATTAGAATGGAAAGGGACACAACAGGGAGCCAAGGGAGAGAAAAGGGAAGGCTCCCAGGAGCAGCCTCTGGTGAAGTGACCGGGCATGATAAAGGAAAAGCAGGCCCTGGCCAGGCTTCCCACATGCATTCCCTCTAAGACTCACATGCTGAGTATTGTTATCCCCATTTTTCAGATGAGGAAATGGAGGCAAAAAGAGGGTAGTGGCTCAACAGCCAATCTTCCAAAGCCTTGCAAGTCATCACTATGTCCCAGAGTCTTCCAGTCATTTTACTTTGCCCTGTGACACCAATACAGTATGCTCAGTGTCACCTTAGCTTATTGTGATACCAGCTCCCAAGCCCCCTCAGATCCCCCTTGTCCACCTGTAGTCATGGGTCCTGGTGTGCCCGGAGTGAACTCTGTCTGGTCATTGTCCCCTGTCACTCAGTGGCAGAATGTGACCCCGGGTCAGGAATGGTTCTGAGAAGGCCATCGGAATGATCAGCAAGGGCTTGGGGATTCAGGAAAGCTTCCTAGGGAAGGATGGGATTGAGACGGGCCCAAAGGAGAAAAGGGGTATTCCAGCCAATAGGAGGGTGCACCATACACACAAAGGCCCAGAAACAGAACTGAGCATGGCTATGGCAGTGAAAAGATGTGATGCAGAGAAAACAGGTGCAGTTTGCAGAGAGCCTTCAGGGTCTGGAGAAGGGGCTGGAGCCTGATCCTGATGGGAGGGAGATCATTTGTATGCCTCGACATGGAGGTCAGCAGGGCTGAACCAGGGTGGGAAGGTGTTTGGGGATCAGGCCTTAAACCACAGCTCTTTCCCCATCATAGCATCTCTTTCAGATTTCTCTTGATGAGGTGCTTCTGCAAATCCTGCTGAGGAACAATGGGAAGTCAGCCCAGCAGAGGGAAAACCCTGCCAAGCCCAAGCTCAAGCCCCTCTGTCCAAGGCCAGGGCCCTGTGCCCATGCAAGCAGGTAGGCTATGGGGCCTGGGACAGCCAGGCACAGTGCCTTTTTAACCAGCCACTCCAACACAACTTCAAGTGTCAGTGAGTGCCTGCTGTATCCCAGGCCCTCCCCGGTGAACCATGCAGGCAGGGCCCTGCTCTTGTGGAGCTTACATTTTGGCAGTAACATTAAACAACCAGGTAAAGTAGAAAATGTGAGAGTGACAGGTGCTAATCAGTGACAGGCATGATGGTCCTCCAGGTATGATGGTCCTCCAGGTGTCTCCCATGGCTTCCCTCCTCCTCAACCAGTTTATTTGGAGACTGAGCTGGAAACTCTAAGACCAACCCCACTCCTGTAGCTCTCCATGGCTGCACTGTCTATTACAATAGCCTAGTCCTATGCAGCTATTTAAATTTAAGCTAAAATTAATTTAAATGAAATTAAATATTCAGCTCCTCAGTCACACTAGCCACATTTCAAGTGCTCAAAGCCAGTGGCCACGTTAATCGAACAGCACAATTATAGAACATTTCCATTATTACAAGAAGTTCTACTAGATTCTGATGCTCCAGAATCTTGCCTCTTATCCTGAGAGGTGCTGTGAAATACTTGAAGCAAAATTAGTGCTATAGCAGCTGGGAAAAAATTGGCACTGCACATGCTGAACCTATAACTGTAATTTCCTAAACTAGTCCTAACTAAAAATGCTACTTTTTAGGACAATGAGACAATCAAAATAAGTTCTGATATTTTGATGTCAAAACTAGTTTGTTTCTTGTTCCCCAAAATAGCCACAAAAATCCTTTCTCAAATCACATCCTGATTTGGCGTTTTGATAATATATTGGTCAGAGTTCTCCAAAGAAACAGAACCACAGAACCAAGATGGGTGTGTGTGTGTGTGTGTGTGTGTGTGTGTGTGTGTGTGTGTAGACAGAGAATTTATTTTAAGAATTTATTTTAAGAGTTGACTCACACAATTATGGGGGCTGGTAAGTCTGAAATCTGCAGGGCAGGCAGGCCTGCCGGCTGGAGAGCCAGCAAAGGATTGATGCTGCAGACTCACAGCTGAGTCTGGAGGCAGAATTCTCTCTTTCTCATAGGACCTCAATCCATTTCTCTTAAACTCTGCACTGAAAGAGGCCCACACCTATCATGGAAGGTAATCTGTTTTGTTTAAAATCTACAGATTTAAACGTTAATCTCATCTAAAAAATACCTTCACAGCAACATCTAGACTGGCAGTTGACCAAATATCTGGTCACTTTGAGACATAAAATTAACCATCACAGATAACAAGGTTACTCTAAACCAAGTAGCACTTTTAGGAGGAAGGACATAGACACTTAAACAGAACTAGGAGACTGCAAAGCCAAATGACTACGCATCAGTGTTTGGCCAGGAGCTGTCCCTAATCTGAACACTTGCCTGCAATAGCTGACGCTTCCTTTCCACTCCTCAGCCCCTGCCCCCATATCCTTATCTCCCTTATATCAGCCTCCCCTAGTCCCACGGGTATCAAGGCCTAGGACTCCTGCTGGGGAGGCAGCTGCCCTCCTTTTAGCCTCTAAATCAGAGCAGAAAGCCTGGGGCCCAGCAGGCCCAGGAGGAAGAGACCTGGAAACCACACAGACCTGCACCTCATTTCCTCTGAATCTAGGCATAGGAAGCGGCCCCAAGGCTGTTCTGAGTCATGCCCAGGCTGCTGAGGAGTATGACTCCTCCCCCCGGCAGGTGTCCTGGGGCCTCCCTACTTGCAAGGCCTGAGGGGAACTGTAGTCCCCCCTCTGCCAGGGTCTCCCAGGGAAGGACTGGCCTCTCGGTAGGTCTACCTCTTGTTCCAGCAGAAGCATGGATTTTTGGCAACCCCTTCCATGAGTTATTTGTGTCCATCGGCCTTGCATCTACCCAAAATCTAAGGCTCTTGTGCCAGGCCTTGTGCAGGACCAGGGTTCACAGCAATGAACAAGATAGACACAGTCCCAGCTCTCAGTGACAGTCAAGTCCCAGAGACAGGTGCTTAACCAATAATCAATAACAATTGTGTTTGATTGTGGCAACAGTGTGTACTAAGGGACTCTGACCCAGAGTGTGTACTAAGGGGTTCATCAGGGAAGCCTTCCCAAAGGAAGGGGCATTTCACCTGGGGAGTGAAGGATGAAGATGAGTCAGCCAGGTGAAGGGGGCCAATCAAGAGGACAGCACATGCTGCTCAGCAGCTCCTAGGGGTGCAAGGCCAGGGCTCCTAGGAGGGGAAGGAGTCATTCCCAGCCACTTGGTTCCATATTTGTCAGAGGATACCTTCCACAAGACTTGCATTACTTATTTGGGCATCAGATGTTTCCCTGCACATGGGATGGCCGGGCCCTGTGCTTCAGACAGTTCAGAGAAGGAGAGACCCCTGGAGCTCCGATTGGGTCACCATGGGTATCTCCACGTGTGTCCGGGAAGACTTGAAGGAACCAATCTGGTGTGGCTGTCGGAGGGTTGATGATGGTGGGAGAGCAGACTCCACTAGACCTCTCACCCTGGGGAAGAGCTGGCCAAGTGGGTAACCATCTCTGTCCCTCCATCCAGAGAGGAGCAAGGTCACAGCCGTGGCCCTGGGCAGTTTCCCAGTAGGCGAGCAGCCAGATCTGTCACTGAGACTGGGGGAGCCACTGACCATCATCTCTGAGTAAGTCCTTCCAAGGGCACTGGGCAGGGTGCTGTGCTCCCTCCTCCAGTACCCGAAGATGCACTGATGGGAGAAGGGGCCCCTCCCTCCAGAAGAAAAGAGGATGGCCTTTGGTGCTGAGCTCCCACTTGGCCCTAATGGTGGATTTCAGGCGGCTTGACATGCCTGCAGGGAGAAGCAGCGGGTGGTCAGCCATACAGGGGTCCCTGAATTATGCCATCTACTGCCCAAGAGGTATCTGGACTAGCTGGTGCAAGGAAACCTGGGAATCAGGTGGGATCCAGCCTGGAGGGTCCTTGCGAATCTCAAAAGAGCAGTTTCTGGGCTTCGGCCCTTCTGAGAGAGGTCTCCCTCCTTTCTCTCTGCAGGGACGGAGACTGGTGGACAGTGCTGTCAGAGGTCTCAGGCAGAGAGTACAGCATCCCCAGCAACCACGTGGCCAAAATCTCCTATGGGTGAGTTTCCACCCCAGACCCCACCTTAGGAGACCTTCCTGTGTAGTCCTTTATGCCCAGTCCTGTGCTGATCAAAGCTGGAGACAGGAGAATCACATGCAGGCCCTGCCCTCTGGAGGAGCAGATAGTTAACTCACATCTTCCTGTGAGACTTGGGAGCCCAGAAGAGGGGGCTGGGGCAGGAATGTGGTGGTGGAGAATGCTGAAAGGGACTCGCAGATGGGGGCAGGCTGCATAAATGTCTGAGGCAAGAAAACAAGGGGGCAGCACCCCACATCATGGGCCTGCCCTTCCAAGAGGTGCCTCCCAGGGAGGGCCAGACACGGGACACAGGGTCTCTTACCAAGCACCAGCCATCTTGCCAAGAGTGAGTGGCAAAAGAAACTGACTCCAGAGCAAATTCTATGCCAGGAGAGAGGGGAAGTGAACTGTCTTTCAGTGGGATCTACCTGATGACACAATCAGGAATGTGTCTCTGTGTACATACACTGCTGTGACAGCCACTCTTCAGTTCTGAGAGAAAGTATAGCTCCAGCAGTGGATGACCTTCCTGTTCTGAGGCTCACGGTGTGTCTGGCTCTGATGAAAGTGACACAGGGATCCTGTGACATGTGGATACCTTGTAGGCTCAGCTTACACAGAGGTCTGCAAGCCGGCTAAAGCCCACCTTGCCATGTGTTTCTTGATGGCTTGGACCTACTGGTTGGAGGTTTTGCATCCACAGTGTGAAACCTAGTTTAAGCCAAGGAAACAGGAACTACCTCCAAGAGTCCCCTTCCCTTGCGACTCCTTCATTTACATCCTCAATTTTGGTAAGACATATGACAATTTTCATAAGTCAATAGAATGACTTATGTACTATAACGCTAGGCTAAGTTCGCTGCTGGCGTCATGCGAGTCACAGCTTCTCAAATTTATTCCTTGAAATCAACTCAACCCTGACTCTGGCGTTGACTGGAATTTCACAGAATCACAAGGAGATAGCCATTTCCATCGAATCACTTTCCATAGGCTTTGCTGGGACTACAGAGCATGACCCTGGGGACTTAGGAGGCTGATACACTAGTAAACCAAAAAGTTCCTGCCAAATTACGCCAAATTTCCCATTGCAGTTAAGTCCTTCGGGGACATACACAGGTGAGGGATCAAGTAAAAAGAGGAAGGAAAACATGGGATCGGCATAATCACAATCCCAGCAGGGAAAGGCACCGAGGAGCAGGACTGTGAAAGAGCTGTGTTTTGGGAGGCACATGTGGAGGTTGAAGGCCTGCTGGTTTTTTCCTAAAACTTCAGAATGTCTTGAACATTTGAGTTCCAACCTTTCTATCCACAAATAAGCTTCAATGAGAGTTAGATTTCAGTGACACCGAATAAAGGTTCACCCGCATACCCTTTGGCTACAAAGTGAAACTTTAAAATGTTCAAGTAAAATATTTACTAAAATTTAAAGAAAAAAAAAAAAGGCAATTCTTGGAACGAATACGATCCCTAAAGCTAAACGTAACCCTAAGGCTTACCGGGGGCCTAGCCCTAACCCTGCCGTAAGCTAACTTTAACGGAAACAGTAACCCTAAGTTGGCATAATCACAATCCCAGCAGGGAAAGGCACCGAGGAGCAGGACTGTGAAAGAGCTGTGTTTTGGGAGGCACATGTGGAGGTTGAAGGCCTGCTGGTTTTTTCCTAAAACTTCAGAATGTCTTGAACATTTGAGTTCCAACCTTTCTATCCACAAATAAGCTTCAATGAGAGTTAGATTTCAGTGACACCGAATAAAGGTTCACCCGCATACCCTTTGGCTACAAAGTTAAACTTTAAAATGTTCAAGTAAAATATTTACTAAAATTTAAAGAAAAAAAAAAAGGCAATTCTTGGAAAGGCGAAGGCTTGGAAAGGCGAGAGGAAAGCATAGGGCTTCTGGGGGGACTGGACAGTGATAGGAGAGAGGCTGACATCACCTAACCTGCTCGTAGCTCCCTGGATGGACCCTTGGGAAGAGGGAGGTCTCCAGGCAGAAAAGACTGGGGTTGACCCCATGAGGTTGTTCTCTGAGGTCCCTGGAACCAGGACCAGGAGGACAAACATGGGGGGCCCCTTGGAGATTAGAGGCCAGTTCGTCATGGTGCAAGTAGAACTTGAGGCCCAGAGAGGGAGGAGGGGTTCCTTTAGAGTCTTGGCCCTTCCACTCCCAGGCTAACCCTGTCGCTCTCTGCTTCTTCCCCTTAGGTGGCTGTATGAGGGCCTGAGCAGGGAGAAAGCTGAGGAACTGCTGCTGCTGCCTGGAAACTCTGGAGGGGCCTTCCTCATCCGGGAGAGCCAGACCAGGACAGGTGGGTAAGCTCAGCCCCACCCTGGGCTTGTCCCTTGAATGCCAAGAACCAAGTGTGATATGACTTCAGGGTAGAGGTCGGAGGCCAAGTGCAAAAGGCTGGAGTACCTGACATTGGAGATAGACAAGTCTAGCTGACTAACCACCGTGTTGCTGCCGTGAGAGCTCATCAGCAACAGAGCAATAACCTGCATTTCTAACAGTGGGTATGAATGGCCCACAGTAGGGATCCAGGCTCAGCCAACACTTGTCAACTGGGACTAGTAATAGTCACAGGATTTCCCTGCCCTGACGGCTATGATTCTTCCTCCCCAAGACACAACATGATCCTAATCTCTTGGCAAAAAGTTGACAAGATCTCTGTGCTTTGGGTCACCAGCCAGCCAGAGCCAAAAATCCATTAGAAGTCATCTCATGATCTTTCTCTCTCTGCTGTTCAGATAGGAAAACAGAGGCCTGAAGATGCGTAGAGATATGTCACATTGCACATTCATATGGGACTTCTCTCACCTCAGGCACAGGGCCTTTGCAAACCAAACACAAAGTTGATGAAGTCTGTCTCTGATGCTCCTGCCTCCCTCTGGGCTGCTGCCCTGAGTCCCTTACAGCAGGGGCAAAGAGGGACGTTGAAGGAATGGCAGTACTCACGTTTGCGTTGGCCCTTTCAGTGCCTTCAAACAACCCTGTGGGTGTTGTTCTTCCATTGTCCCCATTTAACAGATGAGGAAACTGAGGCTTGGGGAAGAGAAACGTTTTGCTTGGAGAGACACAGCTAAGAAGTGAAGAGCTGGGATTTAAACCCAGCTGGGGTTCATCTCACTTCTGACAAACAAGGAAGGCCCACATGTGACAATATTGGTGGAACTGCAAGCACAGTGGTGGACTGGGGAGGAGATATTCGGGAATGAGGACCAGACTCCTGTGCTTGCCCTAATTTGAGCCAACTGTGGTGGGTTGTCAAGTCCTTTGCTTTCTACTCAGTCTCCCTTCTGGGGCCCCTCCAGCAAGTGAGTCCTACCTTTGCTCCCCTTCCTTGGGAAGCTCCCTGAGTTGACTTCTCGCTATCCCCTCCTGCTGTTTTCCATGCAGCATCAGCAGCCCACCCTCACACACTCATAGGCTTAGGCGGGGGCTGGTCCGAGTACAGTAGCTGCAAACAGGAAACCACAGCGGAGGAGCTGAGTAGGGGCAGGGGTGCTGCAGACCAGTGAGCTTTGAAAGCCACAGGAAGTGCTCCGGGCTCAGCTCCTCACCTCCACCCCTTCTCTGGCCTGGTTCAACGCCAAGAACACAGTGGCCAGCACTTATTGCCACTCTGCCCCTTTCTAAAAAGGAGCATATACAAGGGGAAATAGCTGAGAAAAGAGAAAGCAGATAAGGATCAACATTGTTAGTGGGATTAAGTTTAGATTTGACTCTGAGCTTCCACATAGCCAACATCACAACAGGACAGATTAGAATGCAGCTCTTGATATCAAAGAAGGAAGAGATTTGTCAATTATGCAGGAAAAGCAAAGGTTTCTTTGGTACTAACTTCTAATCTCTCATCTGGGGCTTCCTTTTGGACAGTTTGTCAAGCTGCAGGCCATGACTCATCTGTGGGCTAAGGAATCAGTTTAATTCATTGGTGATAGACCAGTGGGTCTCAAATCTGGGTAGGCATCAGTATCACCTTTTAGAGCAATGAACTGGCCCCACACCCAGTAGTTCTGACTCGGTAGGTCTGGGGCAAGGCTTGAGAATTTGCCTCTCCAAAAAGTTTGTAGATGACT